CCCCCTCCGCCGGCTCCCGAGACGAGAGAGGAGCAGCAGGCTTGGGGCGCCCTCGAGAGGGCTCGCGAAGCCGAGACGAGCGCTCCCAATCCCCGCAAGAGAAAGTCGAGATCTACCACGGCTTCTCCTCAAGAACCCGCTCAGGAACCCGAGCGTAAGCTGAAGCGACCTCGCACACGCCGATTGCCTTTGCAGGGAGAAGGCTCCGCATCGGGCTCTGCCTCAGCTTCAGTGTCGGGATCTGGATCTGGATCTGGCACCGCGTCAAGTGCCGGCCCTTCCACTGTGTCCGCACTCGCCCCCGCACCGACGATAACTTCGTCACCCGCGCCGACGAGTCTTCTGGCATCGAGGCCTCAGACGAACGGTGCTACACAGCGCGTCCAGTCTCCCATCAACACGGAACCCGGACCATCATTCCTGTCGTCGCTGCTTAAGGAGGTGGAGATGAGCGCACCTTCCGACGACGAGACTGTGCGGAATTATTTCGGCACTCACTCTGGTGTTGACCCCTCTTCACCAGTCACATCCCCCTCACCATCATCACGAAACTCGCCACGGGCGCTTTCTCTCACTCCACCTCCCCATCCCCGGCCCAGCTCACCTACGCTATCCCTAAGCTCATATGTGGAACCGCGGTTCCCCAAGGCCAACTACTCGCCGACCCGAAACGCCGGGGACAGTAGTGACTCTGACAGTCGATCGAACGGCGCGGAAATTCGCCAGCCTCGCCCACAACGACCGAATCGCCAGCGACCGACCTTTGCTCGGTCTCAGGATTCGTCGCCTACGCGATCTGCCATCCCCTTTGAGACCAAGGAAAGAATCAGCGGCATCGTCCGGGCTGCCCTCAAGCCCCATTGGCGCGCAAAGGAACTTACCACCGATCAATATGCAAACATCAATCGAGACGTCTCCCGCAAGCTGTACGATGGCCTTCGCGATCCGCAGACGCTGGACGATGACGCCAAAAAGACATGCGAAAAGATCGCTACCAAAGAGGTGGCCCGTGCGATTGAGGAACTCAAGGCCTAAGCGGCATTCGGCAGCATAAACGAACGAACGGTACCGGGCATTAGGCGTTATTGGTGTTTGGCAGCGAACCAAGCGGTCTAATACCCCAACACTCCATTCCAAAGGAGGCTTCTTTTTTTTTTGCAAAATTTCAACTTTGAATTTCCCGTGTCTCTGGGACTGGGCGGATGAGAGGCACAGGTGTATCTTAGGGGCGGGGTCTCGTAGTAGCTCGAATCGCTCGGATCTCTTGGAAAGAGACTCTATGAAGGGCGAGACCCAAGATTAGGCTGGAAAGGCTTTCTGTACTGTAGTAGGTAGATAGACGATGACACGACGAATGGACATTACGACTCTGAATGAGAAGCACTCGCGCTCGTGAACACGCTCGAGCTATAGGGGTAGCAGCATAGTCCGCAGCATCAGGTGACACGGAGAGCATAAAATTCATGTATGCGGTTATCGCGAAGCATTGCTTGCCACATAGCACGAGTCCACTCCGTACTCTGCTGATGCGGCTGCAGAAGCCAGCCATTGTTAAACAGCGGTCAAAGGCGCTGATGTGTATGCAGTAGCTATCTAACATGAACCCAGTAAGAGAATTGCAGGTGCTGTTAGCGAAAAAAGACTGCGATTTAGTCTGGGCACCGGAATAAATGATCAGGACGTTCTGGAGGCGGAACAGGTCTTGACGATAAGGAAATGGTGCCGTGAAGAGAAGAAGAAGCAAAAGGGAAAAGTTTCGCGGCAGGGCGTCGGGTTGATAAAGGCTCTGCGCGGTCCCACCCACCTCAGCCCCCGCTACCTCTGCTTACGTGATGGAGACCCGCGCTTGTCAGGCGCGATGTTGACCCGGGCGCCTGTCAAGATCGACCTTGCTTTTCAGGTACAACATGAGGCACCACGAGATTTACCTTATGCTGCACCCGTGCACGGTGCACCTCGCTGGACGTCCGATCTTAGGTAAGCGCCGCCCGGCCACGCGGTACGTACCTCTGCCGAGCTTGAACAGCAAAAAAGTTCAATTCCCATCTAGAGGTTCTCGACTGAGGTGTCAAGGAGGAGACCCCGTACACCCAGCGATTTTCACGATGACAGCTTCCAGCAGAGGCGCATTCGCCGCCCTCGGGCGCATACAATGTATGTTTATGTTTCAGATGAACACTGAGATAATTGGCTGACTTTGAGTCCCCCCTACAGCAACTCCCAGAGTCTGCAGACAATGCGCGAGGGTCCAGATTAGAGCTCCAGCTCCCTCGCGAGCGTACTCGGGTGCCGCCGCCGCCGCCGCAACCACCACGACCACGACCGACGCTCCCCCTCCTCCTCCCCCTTCGTCAAAAGTCAGCAAACCGACCGATCCCAAGGCGGCGGCGGCAGACATTACGATCCCGCCACCCTCGATCCGCGCAGGCGTGATCCTCACCCGGGCGCCGCTCCTGACGCGGCCCCTGACGGACTTTGAGCAGTCCTACTTCTTCTACCAGAAGCGCCTCAACGAGCGTCTGACGATGCCCTTCATCACGTCCGTCTACTTCAAGCCCGACACGCCGGCGCTGATTGACTGGAACATGAAGGTCAAGGACCGCAAGGGCACCGTGGCCAAGGAGCTGGGCGTGTACAACGGGAAAGCGTCGACGGCGTGGGACGACGAGCTGGCCGTCGGCGACGGGCTGAGCAAGCACGACAAGGCGGTGGAGCTGCTGCTCAAGGACGCCGTGATGCGCGTGAGCGACGACGCGGAGATCATCCCCGAGGAGGATCGGGCGCCGCCCGAGGCGTTGGCGCCGCGGGTGTCGGAGGCGGATATTCAGGGGGACCAGACGAGGTTGGATCGCGCCATGGAGAGGACGCTGTACCTCGTCGTCAGGAAGGCCGGTCGCAAGAAGGACGTCTGGGAGTTTCCTGCGGCGGGCTTGTCCACGGAGGAGAACCTTCACGAGGTGAGTCTCTCCTATTTCGTCCTTTGTGACTACCATCTCTTTCATTCTGAGCCTTTTTACTAACCTTGTATACTCGTAGGCCGCGCAGAGAATCCTCGACGACACGGCGGGCGTCAACATGAACACGTGGATGGTCGGCCGCGGCCCGGCCGCCGTGCACGTGGCCAAGACCCAGGTCCGGCGCGGCGAGCTCTTTGAGCGCGGCAGCAAGACCTTCTTCCTCAAGGGCCGCATCATGGCGGGCCAGGCGGACCTGACGGCCAACAAGTTTGGGTACAAGGAGTTCAAGTGGCTGACAAAGGAGGAGCTCGCCGAGGTGCTGGAGCCGGGTTACTACAACAATGTGCGGGGCATGATGGTCGACCGGTAGATGTATGCCTCCATATTCGTTTGGTTCGGCCGGCGCCATGTGTAAACTTGAAATCTCTCTCAAGTGGTGAAAATGGGGGGCAGGCAGACAAGTGTTGTTGGGGAACGGTTGAGAGGACGTGTAACGCTGTTGTATCATAGATAAACTTGTACAATCAAATCTTTCGCTGGATGTTCGTGTCTACCTCGCCAGGGCTTGATTGTGCTGTGTCAAGCTTTCGAATTTGGGCTTGACTTGGGTGTGAGATGCTCATTTTCACGTAATTCTGCTCCCCGGACTAGAGAATCGTAGCCAGTTCGAGATGGTTTTGCCTTGGAAGCATGCAGACATGGCCTGTTGCCTACGAGATACCATGTCATCCTCCATCAACTTGAGCGAATTGAGACCTTTCTCTCTATACATGCTGGTCTTACCGCTATTCAAGAGTAAAAAAATCTACCAGCAATAATGGAATGTCGTTCGAGATATCACATAGTTTGTCAAATTGCTGAAACATTGGGTCTTTACGTGCCGACATGTGTAAACATTATTCATGAAGCCATTCATGCCAAGGGAATTCAAGTAGATATGTAGAGAAACACAATTTCATCTACTTCATCTTCGCAGTTCCAGTTTTGACACGTATTATACTTTCTTACGCAATGCAAGGTTGCTTCTACCAATTTGATATCGTGTCCAACTACGTCGTATAACCACAAACAGTAATCTCTAGAGGTGAGGCCGCGAAGACAAACCCATAGCAGCGTTTCCGAAGCCCACCCTCTCCTACCTTACCCCGCGCCTTCCTTCCTCTCGTGAACTTCACCTCTCGCCTCTCACATCGAGCCACAAGCCTCAGCCCCACCTCTTCCTTCATCCCATGGCTGCCTCCCCCCGACCTCCTGACCGCCTGGCCTACCGTTATATGTCTCAACTCTTCTGGTTTTCTTCAACAGTCCGTGGCGCAATGGGATCAGAGAGGCGTTCCTTTAACGAGGAGCGTCCCCTTGCGCCACGGGTGCGTGGGTTCGAATCCCACCGCTGTTAGAAAACCTCCATCGTTACGCCTGAGGCTGGTAAGAGTCTCGGGTTTTATAGATTCCACTGTCCGCAAAGATAAGAGTTGAACTCTTTGACCTTTTCCTCATTAAGTTTGGGGATAACTTCTCAATTTGACAATGCGTACGTATCATTTACGCATGGAAAAGATATGAAGTATATGTGATGCTGACATATCAGCTTCAGGCTTTACGTATTTGGCACCTCGAATGAGAAATCTCAATGAGAAGGGCATTGATTCCTTTCAGATCTTCGTCTTGCTACGGTCATACAAGAGTTCAAAGACCTTCAGCCTTTTTAGTAGGGTATCTCTCATCTGTTAGGATTCCCATTCCACCTTCACCAACGAACCAGGAAGGAACACGGACAAACACTCCGCTGAAGGACCTGCCCTGCCAAAGTGATCAAGTGCTCTTGCCCTGTTTTCTTGCAGAATTGGGAGGCTCCTTCCTGAGTCAATCTTCTCTCGATGGCTTTTGTTTTCTCCCCCATTTGAGCCGCACATACCTTCCCTTATTCCTCCTCTTAATCCTCCACCTTAACGCACTCATCCTTCCACTTGTCTTCTACCTTTCCTTCTCGACCACTGATCGACCACTGGGAACCAGGAAATTGACAGCACTCCGGCGCCCAACATGGAAGTCTCGTCAGAAAACTTCTGGCGGCAGCTGCCGAAGATTCTGCTCTCAATCGCGAAGTCTCGATACATCGCCATTGACGTCGAGATGACCGGCATCATGGACAAGGGCTCGGAAAACAGACACGACAACCTAACCAACCAGCAGACCTATGAATCGGCCAAGAACATTGCATCCAAGTTCAACGTCTTCGAACTGGGGATCACCTGTGTTGAAAAATTGTCGGGTTTGTGTTCCCATCGTCCACACAGAAGCCAGCATCGTATTCTAACAGATCCGCAGATGGCACATACAAGACCGAGACCTACAGCTTCACTGTCAGTCCCTACCTCCATACGGAAACACGGGCTGATGAAACATTCGTCAAAGGCTTGGACAGGAGCCTTTCTGTGTCATATAACACTCTCAAGTTTCTTCGATCGGAAGGCATCCGGCTGGAAAAGATCTTTGAAGACTGCGTTCCGTACCTCAGCCGCGAAGAGGCCCGCTTGGCAACTCGACAGATGGAGCGCCGACAAGAGCCTTGGGACGCCAGAGATCATGGATACAACGAGCATGACGAATGTCTGACTACGTTCTCCATTTACGCCCATAATACGATTGTAAATTGGCTTTACACCGATCCATGGATGGTAAGTAGCATTTATCCCTTTATTGTGTACCCGAAAAAGACCCTTTCTCTCAAGTTCTTGTCCCCTTCTATCGTAATACTAACCTCGAGATTGGATAGCGAGCTGCAGAGATCAAGATCCTCTTACCCAACTCTGAAAGTAAGAAACGGATGAGCGTCTACGAACTAACCGTTCGTAGAAAGGTTCGGGAGCTTGTGCCACAAATGGGTTGCCGTCTTTGGAACCATGGCACGACCGTGATCATCTCTCAGCGGGACGATGGACAAGAAGCCAAAGTTCGTATACACTAGCGCAGACGAAGATGATGAGAAAAGAGATAGCTGACATCGCCAAGAGACGCGAGTCTTTAGAGGACGATCTCAACGCATCGTTGAGCAAGTACACAGGTAGACTCCCCTAGACGTATGATGTTTCACCGGCGGCTAACTTATTCTAGGAATTCGACTGATTATCGAAGCCCTTGTCGGCGGCAAGTTTGCCGACCTGATTAACCCCGACCTAATTGTCGAAGCCATGTCTGGCTGGCCTGGCGAAGCACATGCCTTTTGTCGTGAGGTTCATGATTTCATCCACCCTACGTCATCAGAACAGTCGGAAGGACCTTCAGAGGGCGAAGTTGCTGATCGCTACTGTCACTTGTGCTGCACATCTCACGACCCTGGCACAGGCTGCCTTAGTACGTCCTCAGGGCAGAACGTCGAAATGGCATCTCAGACAAACTTGGCCACTAAAGGCAAGTGCCCTTGTATGAAGAAGCGAGCCCCATCCAGACGTCGAGTTAGACATGGCGAGCGGACGCCCTTGGTGTATGATGTTCATTGCGAACGTTGCTATCCCGATCTTGGTAGCGGCCGGCCCGGGACTGACTCTTCCCCTCTCCATAACGTCCGCTCACAGACCACCGATACTCAAGGAGCTCACTCGGCTAGCCACAGCGGCGGATCTTCAAGCAGTCTGGAGGGAGTGGCCGATGGCGAGGGCGAAAAGGGCGACACCGGTACCCGGCATATCATGGCTGGGACATCCAGCTGGTATGACAGCTGGTATGAGCCGACTTTTCGGGACGACCTTTGTCAAGATCTCGAGGAACTATCCACTGAAACACTCAAGAACGAAGTAGCAGATGCCCTCAAGGAGCTGGAGGATTTTGTTCGAAGATACGAGCCAATTATCATTGGACACAACCAATTCATGGACCTTTTGTTCCTTTACAACACCTTCATCGACGACCTCCCTGATACTTTGGATGAGTTCCGGGTAAAGATACACAAACTATTTCCATTCATCATAGACACGAAGCTGTTGGCCATCAATGACGACACGATTGAGGGCGAAGACCCATTGATGGATCTATACAACAGGTTCGATGGCAACAGAACGCAGCCAAGCATCCATTGGGATGCAGCTTATGGCTATGGACGTCGTGGAACAGCCCATCAGGCTGGCTTCGATAGTGAGTTGGCAGAACAAGCGAAACCGTGAGTGACTCGACTAATGAAACTAGGCCACATGACGGCAGCTGTTTTTCTGCGAATTGCCTACAAACTCGCCCGCGAGGAATTGGCCAGGCTCGAGGGCCGAGGCGTCTCATACGAGAGCAAAGTGAAGAGATTGTACGACAGAGAATGGCTGTCAGCCGTTGGATACGATTCACAATTCCTGGGTTACCCGCAAGACTTCCACGTTAACACACGGAGAGATTATAATGCCCGAGAGGAGCACGTGGGTCGACTCAGTTGGCGGATGAAGATATTTGACGGCATTCGCAACCGGGTCCGGATCGCCCCCCGCAAGACAATTCACGTAGGAAGAGATTACTGAGTCGCGCTGGCGACAGCGCGTGATTGCCTTTGGATTGGAGAGTTTGCCGACCGTGCCAACGCGAAATCGCGTCTTGGGTTGTTGGTGGTGGCACTGGTCTCATGAGCAGGGAGACGCGTTTGTGAGCAGGACAATGAATTTTGCACTGTCGTTGATGGATGACCCTTGGTGGATTTCTGGAGACGCCCCGCAAAACTATGTTTCGATAGATGAGCCTATCCATACTTGATTGAAAGCACAAAAAGAGCACGTCGGCATTCGACAGATTGTTTGACATTTTGTCCCAAGGCCACTCCATTCCATCAGCTTATGAGCCTTATGTGTTCCAGCTGCCGGGGATTCCTAGGACGTAAGATGATCTGGATCTAGAACCCCGCGAAGAAGAAAATCCCACGTGTACTGAGCACCACAACGACACTTGCCAGCCACGAGAGGTGGATGGTCACTTGATGACTATAATAGAAATACACCAATGTAAGCGTCAGGGGCTAAATGGCGATGACATTCTCCTTGGGAGCCGGGTGATTCTGCCTCCCGCGAGATGCCTCGGAACAAGCTGGGGAAGCACAGGGGGACCAGAAGAGTCTAAACCCTGAGCGCGTTCGCGCAAACTTGGGATTGACAGTTGAGAGGGGCAATTAATAGGATATCATAATAGACGCAACTAAGCAAAGCAGTAATTGAGAAGGGAATCCCGACTTGGCGGGTTGAATACAACACGAAGATTTGAAATGACAGGCCGCAGCGAGCATGAGACGATCGTCTCTAAATGGTTGGTGATCTCCGGGAGGTGAGATGAAAGCTCGGCCGGTCGTCGAGGGCAACCCCTGTTTCTCCGACCCAGGCACAGCGTGCTCCCCGATCAGGAAACTCCACCCAATCAGAAGTTCAAGTGGGCCGGACGCTGGGAGAAGGCCGCGCTCGTGGAGGCTAAAGAGGTACTTGACATGTGAGCTGTCCAGCGACAACGTCACCGGTACTCGCTTATCGCTCCCCTCATGCTCTGGCGGTCAGCTGGCCAGCCCCCCAGCGGCAGCATACAACGCAGCAACGCAGAAGCTGGGGGGGAACCCACTAAGAAACAAACCGAGGCTAAACTTGGGCCATGGCCGAAAAGTGTAACCGTGCCGGTGCGTGCCTGTCCCGGGCACCTGTGCAGGTGCTGCGGTAATCGGCATGTTTGTCTGTCAGCAGACTCCAATTCCATTCTCCAGCAACCCCCAGCTACTCAGCACCACCACTACCACACACCACACACCACCACCACAACGCCCAGGAACCCGAATCTAACCACATCCACATGTCGCGGCTCTCTTCACAACCCGCAGGTGGCATTTGAGCAGGAACGCGTATGATGGCCGCCATTCTCCGCACGTCGGATACATAACAATAGTCCCCGTTCTTTTTTCCCTCATTTCCCTCCGCCTGGGGCTTTTCAATGCCGACAAATTGACCCAATTGCTTGCTGCTGTTGCCTCCCGCTCCTAAATGCCCGCCAACATGTCGTCCCTCAACGGCTCCTACACGGCGACCTTGAGTCCTACGGTCGCTTCTTCCGAGACCACCGCAACATTCCCACCACATATGCTCGCGAGCTCCATCTCGTCTCTATCCTCATCGACCTCAGCGCGCCATACCTCGCAAATCTCGAAGACTTACCGCCAGGCATCGACTCTCTTCCTCACCCGCCGTCTACCCGAGGCACTATCCACCATCTTGCCATTGATCACCCCGCCTACGGGACAGTCGGAGAACGGCGCAGGCGAACCAGCGCCCGTCGCCAGGGCGTCGCGATCCACGAGGATCAAGGTCTGGAGCTTGTACCTGACGACGCTCAACGCCATCGTCGAACTGGAGCCAGACGAAGGAAAGGATGCGTTTGGGAGCCAGGAGTGGAGAGCACTGTGCACCAAAGTTAGGGAAGGAGAGGTCTGGGAGGAGGTCGTACGCAACGGATACCACGGCGTCGAGAGCGACGTCGATTCGGACGTTGTCATTAATCTGTAAGATGCCTTCTCTGTCGTTGTTTTTTCCTTGCTGGAAACACACACTAACAACAACGTAGCGCCACGCTTTTACTAGCCCACGCCCGGACACAAGAACTGAACCAAAGGAAGCTCGAGAGCTATCTCGCAGCCGCCACATCACCAAATCTGGACTTCTCCAAGAGATTTTCCGACTCGCCGTCGCCGTCACCACGGCTGAATCGGCATAGGTCTCCGGCGAAGGCCACCAGTGGAGCGGATACACCGAGGGATCTGAATGCGAGGGTTAAAATCCTCGAGCTGTACACGCTCCACGTACTCATCCGCAATAACGAATGGGATTATGCCCGAGAGTTTATCAGCGTCAGCTCGGTATTAGACGATGAGCGCCGCGAGGCGTTTTTGCAAGCTCTGCAAAGCCTGCAGGAGGAACAGCAGGAAGCTGAGAGGCGAGAAACGGAAGAGCGACGTGAGCAGGAAGAACAGCTTCGGCGTGATATTGAGGAGGCGAAGAAGCTGAGAGCTGAAAATGAAGAGAGGGAACGACGGAGGTTAGAGGAAGAGAGAGCAAGAAGAGAAGGCGCTGAAGGGGACTATGGCATCGAAAAGACACCGAGTAAAGCAGGCTCGAGCAAGGCGGGTTCAAGCAAGGGACGTCACGCCAGGGCCGTTTCCAACACATCAGGGTCCAACTCTAATTCGAAAATGCCCGCCTCTAGGGCCAAAGGGAAATCCTCAGCTCCGCCGACCTTGGGAACGAGGGCGTCAATGGTCATCTCTCGGTTGCGCGAGGTGATTGACCAGCTAGGAGCATCATTTAAGACGAACCCGATGCTGCTGATGCGGCTCGTGGCCTTTATTTTGGGTTTGGTCGTCATGTTTGGGCAGAAGAACGTCCGCGAACGGATACAGCGAGTGCTTGGTAATGGTTGGAATAAGGTCAAGGCAACCGCGGGAATGGGAGTCAAGGTTAGCTACATATGATTACGACGCGGGTACTTGGCTAGCTTTGACCTCACTGTACTATACGAACTTGGATGAACATTGGCCTAATTGGTTGGCCATTCTTTTTGATATTTATGCAAAATGAAGCATTTCTTTTGTTTGGTGAAACCATTGCATGCCGCTTTAGAAAGATCATCGTGTCTGACTTGTTCCCAATTATGCCGCAAAACCCTTGCCCCATATCTGTGAACCAAAACACACCAAACGCCGCAGGCAATGCGATACCTGTTCCACAGCACACATAAAATTTGTAGTCTTCACGTCTCCTCGCGATCAAACAACACATCAAATTTGCCCATATCCCGGGCGACGCAGGGGCTAGTACGTCGCCGTCCGATTGGTTTTCTTCTGGTAGAACAGATCGGTCCTGGAGCTGCCGAGGTTTATAATTTTGGGGCACCCGTCGCGGTCCTTTTCGAGGCGCGTGCACTCGAAGCAGTAAAAGGCGTCCGAGATGCCCTCGCCGCCGCAGACGACGCACTTGTTTTGGTAGTTTCCGAACGAGCACTCGTCGCAGATGCGGACGAGGGTCGTGGGACGGACATAGGAGTCGCAGACGGGGCACTTGCCGTCGCACTTGTCGCAGAGGCGGCCGATGGCGATGCCGGCTTGCTTGCGGCACATTACGAGATCGCTGGCGGGAGTTGTTAGCTTGGGTATTTATTTTGAGGAGTATGACTATGGGATGGCTTACGGGTGATGGCGCGACATGATGGGAAATCTGTGCGAGAAGCGCCTCCGGTGTGTGTGAGGTTTGGTTGAAGCTGTCTTGCGGATCGCGGGAGGTGATGGTCGCAAGTCGCAGCTTATCGTACCCTCTCTTCACCAGGAATCTTTGGAGAAAAGACGTTCGCGCCTGTCAGCCTCGCCACTTCTTCCTCTCGGTTCTCTTTCGGTCATTGGTGCGGACCCTTGTCTGATCCGGCCGAAGTGGGGTAGCCTGTGGGTTCGTCCCTCCGAGTGGCTGGACCCCGCTGACAAACCTCAGCCTTGGAGCTTGGGTTGGAGCTGTCAAGCTTCGGGATACCTACCATGGGACCGAGGCGCATTCAGTTCCTTTCGTGCACACCGCATTCCTTTGCGTTCTGCCTTCTTTGACATTGTTGCCGAGCAGACAGCGACTGCGATTGTGGGAAGCGACATCATCATGGCCACTGTCACAGAGTACAGCGAAAACGGCTCCCTTCGGACCGAGCAAGAGAAGCTTACAGATTCCAGGGCACCTGCCGACATCATCAACCCCGAACCCGCGAGCTCTGAGATGGAGGTTACACAAAAGCGGAAGGCTTCTATAGACTCCCTTGATGGAGCGGAAGAATCATCAAAAAGAGCGAAATTCGATGATGGCGACCACGGCGACCGACCCACACAGGAGTCGACACAGGACTCGAGGCCGCGCGATGAAGATTCTCGAGCCAGTATCGCTCGACGAGCGCCTTTATCAAGGGATGAAGAGAAGAAGCGGGGTAAGCGGCTGTTCGGAGGTCTCCTGAGCACCCTCAGCCAGACCAACTCCAGCTCGCAGCACAAGAAGAGGAGGGAGATTGAGCAGCGACAGCAGGAGAAGGCGCAGAAACAGAGGGCAGAGGACGAGAAGAGACGGACGGAGAAGCTCGCGCGGATCACCGAGGCGCGGTGGAAGGAGCAGATTTTGTTTGACGAGAAAGTCGTATGTGCTTGCCCCTCTCTCCCTTGAGGGCTTCGTCCAAGTGCTTATAAGCTTTCCTTTACCGCAGATGAAAACCCGACATGCCAACATGCTCGCAAAGGCACAATCGCTCCGGACGAAGGCAGGACCGCCAATTGTGCGTATGGCATGTTGCGCGAGGGGGAAGCCATAAGCTGACGTGTTGCAGTACTATCGACCATGGAAGCTTACCAAAGGACAAGAAGACGAGATCGACGACCAGGTGCAAGACGCCAAGAACACTATCGCGAGAGAACTCGAAGCGTTCAAAGATCAGAAAGAAGAGCACGAGAGACGTCACGGCCGCGCCAAGCCGCCGACCACGGTCCAGGAGGAGCCTGTGCCAATGGCCATAGAAGAACAACCATCAGAGGCTCCGCTAGAGGTTTCTGCTGATGCTCCCGCAGCTACCGACCACACAGCTGCGTCTTCTGACAGAGACAGACATGAGCGGGAGACACACGACGAACCTGGTGATGTCGTGGAAAACGACGAGGATATGGTTATCTATTAATGCCTGACAAAAGCGAGGGTGTTTTCCCATCTTTTCTTCCCCGGCGTTTCATTGTAGAAGACGCCACTACCGCGGTAGCTTATGTGATTGTTATAACATTCGGCGAGATGGGAGGCACGCTATTTCCTCTGGCTTTGCGCGCGAGTTTGAAGGCGGAGTTGGGGGTTTTTATGATACCAATTGGAATTCAAAGCGGCGTTTATTTGGGAAAGGTGCCCATGGTGATGTTTGAAAAAGAAAGAAGCTTGGGTCCAGAAACGGGATTCAGGCCAACTTTGCTCGCCGACTGAAGGGCTTGCTATGTTGAGCCATGCTTTCTGACTCAAGCATAAGACCGGTGACGTTCTCCTGCTTTAGCTTGGTGGGACCTCTTAGTCCAGAACAGCTGTTCCTTGCCGTTGAAGAATCGTTGGCCTCCGTCTGCCCCAGTAGTCTGCGCTTTTCGGGTGAAGAGAATGCGATCTCCGACTCTGAACTATATGTTGGGGAAAATGACAATGATTAGCCCCCGTTTCGAGTACCGTCCGACAATGGCGAGTCCCCTTGTCTCAAGTTGTCCCTGGACCGAGGCATCGCAACAGCACGGACGGGGCCCGCTAGGACGATTCCATCAAGGGACTCCGATGAACAGCAAAGGCGATGCCCCGCGCGGGTGGATGCCCGGCCACGCCGTTCGCCAATGCCGCCGCTCGCCGCACGTCAGATCCCCTGTCACCTCAAGCCGTGCCCCTCACCTTGCGACCCATACGCTGGACCCAGAGCTTGGTGCAAACCGGTCGATGATATCCTGTGTGCGAAGTACTGCATTGAGGTAGAGCCCGAAAATGGGACAAGCTATGCCGAGGCTCGATTTACACCGCTCGTATGTTTTTCTTAGGTGGCCAGTTTCTATAGCTTTCTAAGCAATCGGGCGAGTTTCAAAGTGCGATACTTGTCTCCATAACTCGGCGACTCGGCGATACCTCGAATGGTATAAGTAGTTTTGTCTTTCCGACAAGTCTAGTAAGATACGTGTTGGTGAAGCTGCACACACACACTCACACAAACACGCATATACACCTTGTCTTATCATTCCCCGCAATAGCATTGTGAGGGAGCTTACAATCGGTTCCTGAGCTGTAGTAGCAAGGGTCCCTTCCTTGGCAGACGTCGAGTGCCAACGTGAGTATAAAAGTCCCGCGGACCCCGCCATCTGCTAGCTGCCCCTCCTTCTCTCCTCCCGCCCTTCGCTGTGGTCTCTAACAGCTCTCACTCCTTTTAGACGGAAACCTCGCATACCGATATACGGATACACAAACCAACGATGGCCGTCGATAAGATCGCCCCCAACGACCCGCGCGTCGAGCGCAAGCAGGCCGAGGTCAGGGGCAAGACCTACTCCTACCTCTACAGCAAGCCCGAGGGCGACGCCGCCCCCAAGGGCTCCGTCGTTCTCATCCACGGTTTCCCCGACATCTCGCTCGGCTGGCGCTACCAGATCCCCATGTTCCTCGCCCAGGGGTACCAGGTTATCGTCCCGGACACCCTGGGCTACGGACAGACGGCCTCCCCGGCCGAGCTCGAGGCCTTTTCCCTCAAGAGCATGTCGGACGACATCAAGGCGCTCTGCGACAGCATCATCCCGGGCGAGCAGATCATCCTCGGCGGCCACGACTGGGGCGGAGCGCTCGTCTGGCGTCTCGCCATGTGGCACCCGTCCCTGATCAAGGGCGTCTTCAGCGTCTGCACGCCCTACAACGCGCCCACGACGGCCTGGTTCGACCTCGCCGACATCATCGCCGCCGGCCGCCTGACCAACTTCAAGTACCAGCTCCAGCTGCGCAGCGAGGAGGTGCCCGAGAAGCTCACCAAGCCCGAGGACATTCGGCAGTTCTTGCAGGGCATCTACGGCGGCAAGGGCCCCGCGGGCGAGCTCGTCTTCAACACGGAGAGGGGCATCATCTGGGAGAATATCGGCAAGATCGGTCCCACGCCGCTGCTGTCCGAGGAGGAGATTGCGTACTACGCCGACAACTTTAGCAAGTCGGGCATGCGCGGCCCCACCAACTGGTACCGCACGCGCAAGATCAACCACGACGAGGAGCTGCCGCTCGCGGAGGCGGCGGAGAAGAGCGGGGAGGCGTACAAGGTGACGCCGCCCAGTCTCTTCATCTCGGCGACAAAGGACGCGGCGCTGCCGCCGGCCATGGCGGCGGGCATGGACAAGCACTTTGAGGACCTGTCGAGGGGCGAGGTGACGGCGACGCACTGGGCGTTGTGGGAGGCGCCCGAGGAGGTGAATAAGCAGATCAAGGCGTGGATCGAGAGCAAGGTCGACAAGAAGCCGACGGCGTCGTTGTAAGAAAGCCAAAAGATGAAGTGCGGCTCTCGAAGGAGGGGCCGCGCGAGGTTGGATTTGACGTTAACGTTTATATTTATGACAGGCAGGGATGAACCACGGTCTCGGGAACGATTAGTGAACGACCAATGTAGAATGAATTACAGAATTTGACAACGCAAGGCTTGTGCGTTGATTGACCCTTGAGGTCTGTTTTTGCAGTTATGACTATCTGTACCTAGTACTGTTGTTACCTTGGTTGGGATGAAGCAGTGATGTCAGACGTCGTGGGACTGTCTGTCGTGCTTGGCCCTCGTGCTTCGTGCCTGATTTCTGCCCTCGACTAGACTGGTATTGAAGGCCTGCCACTTGTTGCATCCCGTCCCTGACCTGGCGCATATTAAGCCGCGTGCCGCAATGTAAGTGAGCCTCTCGATGGCGCAGAGTATAGGCCTCGTTGCCATGCCTCATCGCTGCAGCTCCTGACCCCTGCAGGCAGACCGGCTTCTAGATTCTAGTCGGACGCAAGGTCCGCGTCGCAAGGGCATCGTCTTGGATGTTTCGGCAATATTGGTTTGTCGCAATGTAAGAAATGTTACGTTTCTTCCATAACATGTTGCCCTCTCACTTCAGGGTGAACTTCTGTCCTGCAATCGACGGGGCAGCCCCCTTGGCCTTCTTATTCGGCTTCCCGCACGAGGCGCACGAGTCGGCTCGGTAGGCGCACGACTGGCAGAGGGAGTGGCCCTGAGAAACCTTTGTCTTGCATTTTGAGCAGGCGCTCGAGTACTGGGCGTAGGGGTTCTTGGCAGCTTTGGAGAGAAGTTTGCTCTTGCCGATGCCGGTCGTGCCCAGCGTAGCGGACTTGGTGGCGGAGGAAGACGAGGACGAGGAGGAGGAGCCGTGGTAGATTTCGCTCTTCTTCTTTACGGAGGGCGTCGCGAGGGTCGTGGAGCCCTTGCCAAGCTTTTGGCACTTTGTGCAGACCATTTTGGGGATGTGTTAGATTCGGTGGATAGATCTGTCGTCGGTTGTGTTGAAGTCGCAATTGCTTAAGGGTGTTCTGATGATGGTTGAGGGAGACAGGCAGAGAACGAGTGGCTGGTGCTGCAAGTGATAAGGCTGAGATAAGATATGATAACAGATGTGCGTCGCAGGGCGGCGGATTGTTGGTCAGTGCTGAAGACTGAAGTTTCCCCGGTGGATCCGTCTCGATTTGGGTGGGTCCAGCACCGGGCCGGGCTGGGATTGGAATGTCTGCCCTGGAGAATGAGAATGAGTGGACGACATTGGACGTTCAGACTGTCTGGACCTCTGGCTCTGGGACCGTTGGCCCAGCTCACGCGGTAGCCACAATAGGGGGGGTACTTTGTTGTCGAGCTGTTTCCTCGCTGTACGCATACGGGGACCCCAGCCACTTTTGGAATTGAAAATGGATTTTTTTTTGATCAAGTTCTTCAGCATCTTGGAGAATGCCGGGGGTTACTGGGGTGAAAGAATATGCCGTGGTTGGGTCAAATTTCGTCTGTTCACTTGGGATGAGCGAGAGTTTCCGTACAGAGCATATCCGTACTCCACAGGTAATCACAGATCATCGGGGGGAAACGACTCTGAAGAGGCACATGGCCAAGGGGAAACAGGTTCTGTCATCGAACGGGAGATGATGCTTAACTCCTACCCTGATCAAACCTTGCTCAACAACCTGGGCATTGCTGCGTTGTCTCCATTGTTCATCGTCTGTCCTCGTGTATTGGTGTATTGGCCGTTTTACACGCTGGTCCTGGCGTCGGCTAGGTGGTCGTCGGAGCCACTGGGGTCTGAGCGGGCATACAGATACAGGTACTCTGTTCCCTATGACTTTCCTATCCGTCGAGCAGTGAGCAGAGGCGGACTCTGAAGTTGGCTCGTGTCAGAGGAGGCTAAATGTGACGGGGTCCCGAAATTCCGTGCGAGACGTCCGTCCGCCCCTTACGTCTCGATTGAAGGTTCGATTGGCGACTGTGTCTAGCGTTGAGGGGAAAACGCACGCAGGCTGCAGGCTGACTGACCGAGAGTGGCGTAGCGGGCATTCCTGCCGACATCCACCAACTTCGCCCTGTCGTCGTAGTCTGGCGTGTGTGGCTGGAGGCCGACGCAGCTCTTTAAACTTCTCGCTGTCGCTGTCAGCTTGTGGTCTCGCATCCGGTACGGAGAGAGGCAAAGAGGATCAGGACGTGGAGGAAGAGATGCAGCCAATGCTAGGCCCAGCCAGTTAAACGGCCTTCCAAGGATTCAGAAATTCAGAATAGTAACAGGCCCACACGTGCCCCCTTCTGGTGGAGCTGCGGTCCCAAAAGCAATGGAAGCCCACCCAATCCCATTGCCCAGCTCGAAGTCGTACCTGGTCTCACAGCAAAACAGCCCAAGAAAGTACAGAGAATGAAGATACCTGCCACACCTGCCCGAGGAAACTGCCAGCTGTGAGCAGACGTTGCAGGCCAGTCAAGTACCTTGGTACCGCAAACAAGGCGTCCCAGTTCAAGCCAACGAGACCCTTTCGACCCTTCCCTGTCCCTTCCATTGAGGTTTGGTGTCTTCAATCTGCACTGTTTGATGCTGCTACTGCTGCTACTGCTGCTGCTGCCCTGCGCCTCCCTGAAAACCCCACGCTACCAACCTTACAAGTTACGCCCGTTCCAACGCCTTGCTGCTACTGCTGCTGTTGGTGCTGCTTGTTTAGCTTCCAGTCTCATCCGGCCGGCTCCCTTGCGCTGTCTCCCGAGTTCCCCCAATCCAACCCCATTCAAGCACCACCAACACCTCAAACACGACTTTCCGCAGATCCCACCCTTTCCGCGGACGACACCTCACATCACCTTACTTCTTGGCCTCTCGACAGTCTCCAAGACGCCTTCTCCTGTCGTGAAATTCTTCGACCGTTACAAGCCAATCATAGCGACTGCGTTGCTTTGCCTCTTCAGCCACTGCCACCAGGGACCGTCTTTCGGCCACGAGGTACCTACTCTCGTCTTCGCCCAGGGACCAACTACCTACGGTACACTTGCGCACTCAGCCCGTTGACGTAGCGCAAGCCGACCACTGTGTAATCCTAATCCTGCGCCAGAAGGAGGCTGTGCTGCAACAAATACGGACTGCTGGGCCACTTCTTTTTTTCCCACCACATCAGCTACCCTCAGCAAACGCCCAGCTGCGGCGTCGCTTTCATTGCCGATTGTCGTTGTCGTCGTCGTCGCCTCTAGCTACGCTACTGCTGCCGATACGAATCTCCATCATCCACCGATTAGGCTACCAAATTGTCCGCGACCACACCCTCCCGACTGCATCGCTTCTTCCCTTCATGTGTCCGGAAACACGACGATAACCTAATTACCTCGAAACTCGCATGCTGGCCATTTCGACACTTGCACATTGATCGCCTAGCAACGCTACCAGCCTTCCCGGCATGACTGGACGACCTACGGGTGGTCCTCCAGGAGGTCCCTCGAATAACGACCTGCTACTAGACTTGGACAGCGAGCAACCGACTTACAATGCTGGGCAGCGATCGAACATGAACGACGACGACCTTTTACGCTCCTACAATCACGATCAAGACCAGGCCCAAGGCCGACCCTCCGTTTCGTACGATGACTTTGTGGGCGGTGGCGGCGGAGGAGGAGGAGGGAATCACACACAGCAACCCTCAGCACTGAGACCGTTACCTGGCGGCCCTCAATCACCTGGTGTCTCTGGCGGCGCATCCTCCGGCCCATACATGCAGAGACACTACAGTCAAACATCAGAACTAAACAATTACCAGCGATACGCCGACGACTTTGACGACTACTCGGCCGAAGGCGAATCATACTACCAACAAGGCGGCGCCGCGACGAGTACGAACAATGTCGGTGATCCCTCTGCGAGGTCCAATGCTCGGAACCGTAACAGCGTCCTGAGCTTGGGTGGAGGCTTCTTTGGCCGCATGAAGAATAAGCTTGGGATGGGCCAAGGATACTCGGAGATGGACTTGCCATTGACGGAAGCCGGCGGCAACGGACGGACAGACTCTGGCATCGACGCGCAAGCCAAGGGGGGAAGGAAGTTCGACATGGGTAACTTCAAGTTTGGATTTGGAGGAAAGAAGCCGGACCCTTCGACACTGGGCCCGAGATTGATCCATCTCAACAACCCGCCCGCGAACGCAGCGAACAAATACGTCGACAACCACATCTCGACGGCCAAGTACAATGTCGCAACCTTCCTCCCGAAATTCCTCTTCGAACAATTTTCAAAGTTTGCCAACATCTTCTTCTTGTTCACGGCTGCGCTGCAGCAAATCCCCAATCTCTCGCCTACCAACAGATACACTACCATCATTCCGCTCTTCATCGTCATGATGGTGTCAGCAGGCAAGGAACTAGTCGAGGACTACCGAAGAAAACAAGCCGACCACCAGCTGAACACGTCCAAGGCCCGCATCCTGCGCGGAACCGCCTTCCAGGAGTCCAAATGGATCAATGTTGCGGTCGGAGACATTATTCGCGTCGAATCTGAAGAGCCCTTCCCTGCCGATCTGGTCCTGCTTGCAAGTTCTGAGCCTGAGGGACTTTGCTACATCGAAACAGCCAATCTCGACGGAGAGACAAACTTGAAGATCAAGCAGGCGTTGCCCGAGACATGTACAATGGTCAGCTCCAGCGATCTGAGCCGGCTCGGGGGAAGAATCAAGTCTGAACAGCCCAACAGCAGTCTGTACACGTACGAGGCCACCCTGACGATGCAGGCTGGTGGTGGTGAAAAAGAGCTGCCGCTCAACCCCGAGCAGCTTCTCCTACGAGGTGCTACTCTTCGTAATACACCCTGGATCCATGGTGTGGTTGTCTTCACTGGACACGAGACAAAGCTCATGCGTAACGCCACTGCTGCACCCATCAAGCGCACAAAGGTCGAAAAGAAGCTGAACATTCTTGTTCTCGTGCTGGTCGGTATCCTCCTTGTGCTTAGCGTCATTTGCACAGTAGGCGATCTTGTTCAGCGCAAGGTTGAGGGCGAAGCTCTCCAGTACCTGATGCTTGACTCTACCGGATCCGCAAACGATATCATCAAGACCTTTTTCAAGGACATGGTCACATACTGGGTTTTGTTCTCCTCCCTTGTGCCCATCTCTCTTTTCGTCACGCTGGAAATGGTCAAGTACTGGCACGGGATC